TGGAATTGCGGTACCGTTTCTCAAGCACTTCATGGTGCACTTCGAATCTCCTTCATACTTCCATCAGAGTGGAGTAGCGTGTTTCCTGACGACAGAATCACCTGACAGCTTTTCACTACAGTACCCTTCTGGCTACCAATTTCTGACGTACGGTTACTAATCGATTTACCTGAGACTGAGAAATAGCGAGTGGCCCGAACAAGACCGGAAACATCCGTACCCCCCATTTTCGGCAGCCAGTCAGACGAGACTGATTGAACTAGCTTAACCGTCCACTATTAAACTATCACTGCATGACTTAACGGTACTGCAATAATAGGACTGGAAAATACGATAGCGGTGTGCTGCCAGTTTAACAATGCTACTCTTATTCAGTGCCGTAAGGGTGGAGCCTTCTTGTAACCAAGTGCTTTGGTCGAAGACGAAGTATGACGGAGTTCGCCTGACGTGGCACTGACAATCGCATATCATAAGTGTAGGAATGTGGTGAAGGGGAGCGGATGGTGAACACAACAGTAACTTGTCAGGGATGGCAAATTTCCAGTATCCTTTAGCATATAGCCGAAGAAGAGTCACGTACTGTAACTAAAATCGGTCAGACAGATAGGAATCATTGAACCGCTTTGTTCAACTGCTGCACTTTCCTCGCATTGCTCCAAAAGTGTGTACAAATAGCTTTTTTACACCTCATCGTGGAGGCAAGTTTCACTGAACATATTCATTAACAATAGCATACATTCTTGTCAGCATATCCTTCAACAGGCTGCCACCGCAGCTGTCCTCCACTTGCAGGTTCATTTTCGAGGCATTGAAGGTCACCGTCACTTCGCGGCTGTGTCCTTTAATCGCAAGGACGACCAGAGCCGTCAACCAGCGCACAAGACTCGGCGCCACGTCCATAAACACCATTTTGACACTGCAATCCGGCAACTTGTTTAGCTCTTCTTGAACAGGAGATGCCCTTCTAAAAAGAAAACGTCAAAATCTGATCCGCCTGAAAAGCAAACGTTCATCACGCCTTATCGACTCAAAATTATGATCACCACGAAGAACTGAAAACACCTGATCTTTCATGAGTCAGAAACTGAGTTAGTTTAGTCCTGAGTCCAGGAATTGAGGGGAGCAAGAACAACGCGTCAGGTTCGTTGGCAAGCGAGATCGTGTGCAGCTGCGTGAGTCAGAAAAGAAGCAACTGCACAAGAATTGGGTGATTTTTGTACAAAGACTGCAAACCGTGTGTCCAAAGCGACTCGTCGAAAGGCAGCGTCGAGTGACCGATGGATACAACGATAAAAAGAGAGGCAAGTCACGTGGCACCCCAGAGCCGCCTGTTCCAAACCGTGCCCAAATATTCTCAGTGTGGACACAAGACCAGCGTTACAACGAGATTAGTGGTGCCCAAATCCGGAAGGAAATATCAGCGGCACGGGGCAGCAGTAGCAGAAGCAGTTATGGAAGGCGTTCACTTGTTTCCTCAATCTCTCTGTTCACCGCTCTTACAGCTACCTTTCGTATTCAACGTTTCGTTATTGCAATTTCGTTTTCTTCGCGGCTTCATTTCCCGGCCCCTGCTGTACCAAATGCCCTGACAGCGTGTAGTTTCCATGTTCGAAAGACGCGCTCACCATTGAATCTCATCTGAACCATTTTACTTTTCGCCCAGTCGAATCTTACAGGTCAATGCGCTTAAAATTATTGTTCAGAGATGCGGTTCTTACCAATAATTATCCGTGCAACTTTCAGGCATTGCGTCGCTGCTGTCATAATAAATATTAGTCCATCCATATATGAGAGTTTTCATCGTCTGAAAACAGCACGATGCACTGTTTATTAATGCACAACGCAAGCGCGGTCATTCGGACGATACCAGGGTACCAGCGTTCCGGCTCGAGTCTCACTGGCCTTCTTCCAGATAGAGAGGTTGATTGACCAACTTTGGAAACCCTCATGTCGTTCGCAACGGTGGTACCTGTGAAGCAAGAAGGTGAGTTTATGGTCAGTTCTGCAGCTGAGGTAGTTTCTAGAGGACAGGAACGACAGATCTCATTCAGTCAACGCATACTTTGTATTCTTTGCCACGGTTGACACCGTCGCAGTAAAGAGTTACTAATGCCACTTTGAGGCGCCAATTCAACTGGGGTATTTTTGTGATGATACCGATATACTCTGATCAACGGGGAGATCTTCGTTCTTGTGTAGGGCGCGGCACAATCCTTGAGGTCCTACAGCATTTTTCCTTGACTTGACTGGGAGCGAGGCCTTGCTTTCTTCCCACATTCCTCATTATCACGTGTCGCTCATGCTCCTCCGCCACGATCATGTATCGTTTCTAGCTGGACAGATGCCCTTGTTCTTTGAGTGACGGTGTTCCCATGTGATGTATCCTGCAGTCACATTTCCTAGGAAATCATAACTCTCAAAGTTACTTTCTAAAGTATTAAATTTATTAGAATTTTGATACACCGTGTTAATAATGTCAGCACGTGATATACAGGAAGGTCACTCCCCGGATGGTCAGACTGTAGCGCCATCACCAGAGGCGTTGGTTGAATAGACTTGTCACGAAAGCATTAATCATCCAATCTTGCGACAATGTCAGCTCTGACGGATGATATGAACTCGGCGCGGATTAGCTCTGCTAACCTCAGATGGCGATGACAAAACACCAATGTCTGCACGGATTGGATGAGCCATGTCGCCCCTGTCTCTAAGAAACTACCTATCTGGCAGCTTGGTCCAAAAGTATATCTTCTGGCTCCACACATACTACCGCTGCGTAAGACAAAAGAATTGGTGAAGTCAGTCAATCAACCTCCTTATCTTGAAAAAGGTTCATGACACAGGTGCCAAAGCCTCAGTCATCCTTTTGACCGTAGTTTTGCTTTGTGTACAAATAAACCGTGTTCTATGTTACTTTCAGTAAGACAAAGCACACACGAATGAGAAATACTTCATTCTCATCTTATGCATGATTCAATTCATATTGCCAGAATTTCTTCTCGTCATATCCGTTATGTTATTCTTTTCACATGTCAAGGCTCTCACTCATTCTCCACCTTATTCAGTTGCTGCTTTAAGTTCCAAGCTGAACTCCTTTGAAGCGTCATTACAACTTCTGCCCAGGCTGAAAACACCTCTGACTGAGGATAACAATCCTGTCATCACTATCATTCACACCATCTCCTTATTTTCTCGTATGTTGCATATTTTTCATTCTTTCGAGATTCTATGGCAGAAGTATATGAATTTTTGACTAGAAGTTTGCAAGGCTGATGCATTAATGCATGACCCCACTTTTGCATCATTCAGTTCTAGCTATAAAAGTGTAAAAATTGGATGCCTGCATCTGCTGTTTCATTTTTACTGGAAACTTAGTTCTACCAGGTCTTCATTTTCTAATGCAATATCTTTCAGTAACGTTCCTTCTCATCTTGATCAGAAATATTGGCTGACCAGTTATTATATGAGTGCCAGCATAAACCTCGGTACAGGAACTTCATAAACGACATGCATTCGATATTCTCGGCTTCACTATTGATCGATGATTAAAGAAATGTTGCGGAATAGATACAATGTCTCTCACGTACTCTTCAAAGAGAGGGATGTCGACACGACACCCTACCGAAAGCAACCTTGCATGGTTACGCCAAACTCATGAACAAATCTGCATTGAAGAATAGATGAGTAGGTTGGAAAAAATGCGTGAAAGCAGATCTCCACTCAAAGGGGAAAGGCCTTCGACCACGCAGCAAACAATTCCTAACAGAAAACTACTGAGTGATGCTTGAATAATGCAGAGTGCCTAAAAACCACAAAGCAATGCACATGCAATCACTTCGGGTGAATAACGCAACAAGAAATAATAGTATGACAAAATACAGTCGGCAAATATTCAGTAAAATGATCATCATACGTCATCACCTTCCATCACGAATTCAGTTCAAACGCGCTGATGTATCAATTGTCATTCTGGAGCGAATGATGCAATAGAAGCATATATTACAACAGGACCTTCAATACTATAGAAAAGTATTAAATTTTGCATCATTTAATGCCTTAGTCTAAAATGAAGTACTATCCGTAGCAAGTTACAAGAACCGTTACCCTCCGCGCTTACCTGAACTATCACTCGGACGAAGATGTTCAATTTGGCACACTAAGTTCGCCACGTACCTAGAAAAGCTAAAATTCTAGCACAGTATTAATTTATATTCAATAACACAGATTCTGCGTCATATTACAACCCATTTTGATGCAAAATTATTAAATTTCGTTCAGATTTCAGCTGCCGCTCAAATTTTCACGAAACGTGTAATACGGTATTGATTATCAAGCTAACTAACCAATGGATGGTGGCTTCGAGTTATTCATGATACAGTACCATTTCTGAAATCCCCTTTCGCTGCGATGAAGTGAACATAAAGCTTTGAACTTGCGGAATTGCATATGATCCGTTAACGTGGTCTAAATCTTTATCGTTTTTTGCGTGAATTACGTTCTTGTTGAAAATTCTAGATCTGCTTAACAACGAATCCAAATTCGATTCGTTTCAATCAATCAATTTGGCTGCTCTGAACTTTCTTACCTCCTTCTTTATAAAAACTTATAAAGTTTCAATCTCAGCTACTTGTTTCTTGTTTCCATCTTCACATAATGAGAAGCAATGGACACTATCTTTGCAGCATTTTTCCTAGCAGTCAATTTCCATCCTCCCCTTTTCCGGCAGAGTGCTTTATTGCCGTGATACATTTAATTTTCTTCCGGTCATCTTTCATGCCATCTTGTCTACTGTCGAACTTGCCAGTTTTGCTCTCTTCTTATGGCCGTTTAGTTACCAAACTAGCTCGCAACTTGATTCACCTGCTTTTATGCCCTAGCAGTTCTTCTACAATTGTCATTCTTGCCTCTGCACATGTTCCAATCGTCCTATTAAGATATTTCGCCTGCATAAGCGATAACTGAGATAAAGTTTTCACAGATTTGTCATTACATATTTGAGGTACTTCCTGAAACCTTCATAACGCCGTCTCTAGGGTGACCGATCACCCAGGCCGCAGGGAACTTCTACCGGAGCTTTGAGGCTACTCGTTGCCGAAGTTAAATAACGTGACTGGACGATTGACAACTGCCGATGAGAGTAATTAAAGGTGGCTATAACCCTTCCGTCCTTCTCTAAGTATGTCTGACCTTGTTTCATGATTAACAGATTGTGGCGCATCCGCATGCTGTGCGTCACAGCATCAGAATATGATTCAATTTTGAGACTGATTTGAACATGGATGCCAAGTGAGCAAAGGATTCGCTTCTTATAATTCATCTCTCATGAGTTAAAAAAGAAAAATGCAGTCTTATGCATACGCGATATGCGGCAAAGTATCGGCAGCTTATTACATAATCTCGATCCATCCGCGTAGAGATATATTTTTATTGGCTGCATTGCTGGCGCTTTCATCAGCACTAAATAACCATCCGAAGGCCATATTTCAGAGGGTGGAATTGTCACTACGTTAAGTCTGTCAGAAATATCTGATACGGTGCTTTCAAGCATTTCTCAGAAATGTTACGGCTATTTTACAGATGAATCGATGGAAGACTTGTATTTATTCACACTTTTTGTAAATCGTTTTTTCTTCAGTTCAATTTGCTATTTTTTTCTATTTGTAGTATTTTTATCTCTATTCCACGAACTTTTGAAAAACCGAAGCTGCTATCCACTACAGCAATAAACGTGGCTAGACTCGACAGCGTACATATCGAGCAAAACGGAAGTCCACTAGGAGTCTGAATGACTCCATTACACCTCAACTTGTCCACTTCAAGTTTTTGCTAGTTGTTGAGGATCATAGCTTGAGTGTCACTTTCGCCACCACTGACTCGTGATTCTTGCCGCCTTCAGCACTGCAGCACACTCCGATATTTCAAAGCATGTTCCACGATTCCTGGTGACTAACACTTGATCAGTTTGGCTTCATTATGCATAGGTGGGGCACTGTTTGATACTGTACATTGACTTGTGAGGAAACCACGTGCATGGGAGGAAACCTGCAACCAGCTCGTGCACTTCGCAGAGTTCAGAAAGTCGTTCGCCTGTGTCATTTTTCTTACCTACGGCTTGTGCATCCAAGCTTCCATTTTCTTCGTTCACAATTTCTTACTGAACTCACCAAAAACAATCAAGGTCTCACGGATACGGTACTATGGCAGTAGCAGGATCAGCGTTCCATAAAGCTCTACCTTTACTGCCTCTGCCGCAGCTTCCACAGGACATAAGTAAACTACCATGAGTTCAATTAATGAGTTATTGATCTTGAGCCTCGCTATTATAATTCTGTCAGGTTCAATGTGTAAATGTACGGCAGAGAGCTCTACCTTGCTAGTAAATGTTAATGCAATACCATTATTGTTAACGCAGCCTGTTGCATTGACTGAGTAGCAGTGGTAATAGTTCGTTGCGGTCACGACGCCGATTGTAAACCAGTAAGTCTTCTCTACTGCCTCTTAATGTATCCTTACTCGATGCAGCTGTTTTACCACTTGTCAGGACTCACTTGACGTTCGCACGTTTCACGTCGGAAATTGTGTCCGATGCTTAGCACTGAAGGGAGTTTTTAGCCATTTTGCACATTCTAGAGATCCATACGCAGAACCGGCGTGATTTCTGAACCTGCTACCAATATAACCCCGTTTGAAGGTCAAACTCTGTATGGTTTTGATAGTCAGAGTAAAATCTACATAGTCTCAAACAAC